GAAGCGTTAATAGATACGAGAACAATTTTAACTTTCCACTGCATGCCCTCTTTGCACGTCTTAAATTGGCAGACAGGGAGAGATTCTTCCAGTGTGAGGGAATCCTTTTTTGTCGGGGAGAAGGAGGGGAAGGATTCGGCAACCTTTGGGAATTTGGGGGTTGACAACTGTTCAGTAATGGTAGGCCAAAATATTGCATCTCAATCCTAAATTGGGTCACAGCTGATTTCCCTTGCTGCCATTTGCTGCTGCTGCATGGGCTTGGCAATCCAGGTGCAACCTCTCCATAGGTTGGAAGTTGCCAACCTCTGGTGTAGACCAATCATGACTGCCATTCCAGCTCCCCTCTCAGCTTGAGGGACAAAAGGGATGTGATGGCCTCATGATACCCTCTGACTGTTCTTATTGATGATTAGGTTGCTAAAAATTTCCTGTTACTAAGGGACTAAAAATGACTCAAACGTTTCATTGATGTTAGTCTATCACGTAAACAACCTCTGGGGATCTTCTGTGATTGTGCAGATTGTTCTACTTTGGAAGAGGAAGTTGTCCATGTGATGATGGGTGGATGGGGTCATGGTCTATGAGAAACTCTAGGAAGATGTTGGCTACATTTTTTTAGTCCCTACTTGTTCCAGTGACCTTAGATTTAAAAAAGCTTCTGCTTGCTGGTGGCTTTTATTTGAAGTGACAGAAAATCCTGGCACTGACTTCTAGTGAGTGACAACCGCCTGTGATAAATTGTGCTAGCTTTGACTCCATGTGGGGCACTAATATTCCAGTCTTACTGGGACTGTCTATGATTACATCGTACACACCCAGGTCATTCTTGGACAAAGCCAACCCTTGGAAATATCAGAGAGAAATCACAAAATGTTCCAGAACATGGAGCTGGCAGCTGGGTGTCAACAAGAGTGAACACCACAATGTGTTTTCTTTTCTTTTTTTTTTTAATTAAAAAAAAAGAAGAAACCACAGTTGACAAGTGAGTGCCCATCTGTCTATCTGTTTCTGACTACTTTACAATGACAAGGTATCCAGCTGACCATGTCTTGCTCTGTCCCTTTTGTTGTGAATGAGCATGTTATTTCTCTGTTATCAAAGTTGCAGTCTGGGTGGTAACAATACATAATTTCTGTACTGCATAACATGTCAACTTTTTTGCTCATCCAACAAAGATGCTTTGGGTTTGTTTTAGCTAATGGCTACTGGTCATGTTGTGATGTTGTATATATTGATGTTTCTTTATCCTCTGCTTTGAAAGAATAATGAAGTATAATTATGACCTAATAATAACAAGGAAGGAGAACCAAAGTCATGAGCCCCCTGCTGTTCCACTCATAGTCATCTTGAACAATCTTCCAGTTGAGGAAACAGCCTGTGAATGTCAGCAAAGTCACTTCCTTTTGTCTCGTTCAGTTAGTTTCAGCACATACAGCTTTCTTGAAACAGATGGATGTTGTGCAATATTTTAACTGAGTGAGCACTTGTGGGGGACCTGCACTTCGCTTTATGCTGGGTAAGCTGTTTATGGTGGGGCATTTTTTGCTTGATTTTGTTGTTATTTTTTGGTTCTCCCCACTTTCTCATGACTGAGACCACGGAGCAAAGAAGTACAGCTACCAACCAATGTTCTTGGGTAGATGGTAACCGTTCCGCACATTCGCCAGGCCATTAGTGCTATTCCCTCATTGCCAGGCTGCACATACAGCCCTCTTTGCATATTTGGTATAGGCAAATAGGCAGCCACGATGATGTACAAACACAGAGTTATAAATAAACAGTGAATGTTGGGTGACTTTGCTAACTGCTTATTAGCAGAAGGCAGGGCAGTGTGGCACCCTACAGAATAACTCATGTATTAGTATTTACAGAGCACATAACAGTGTACTGTGTTATCCTGAACAAATAGAGAGACAAAGGGCTGCATTTTCAAAGCTATTTAGCTATTTCAGTTGTGCACCTAAATAGCTCCAACTATTACCCCTAGTCCCTGTCCCAAATGACTCTATCTAATTTTAGATGCAGTGCAATGAGTAGGAGTATCAAACAATAGTGAGGGTTACAGTATTGGCATTGTGCACTTACTCAATATGAACTTGTGCACATCCTGATGCCTCAATTACAGTTTTTAAATAAATCATTACGTGGGACTCGCATCTCAATCTCAGCATAGGATTATCCACCTTGAACAGCAGAGGCTTCAGTCCTGGTAGAAATATCAGCCATTGCATCAGCCATGCCTAACTCATTTAGACTTGTAACCTGATTGACCTACCCCAGGGGCATGTTCCACAGACAGCATCTTGTTTTTTGAGCTTGAATTATAGCATCTTAGATTCCCTGTGTCCTCTTCATCTGTGTCACTCTGATTTCATATGTCCTGAATGCAGTGTGAGCTAATCTTCAAAAAGGAGCTATTATTATTTTGAATATGATTACTATTCTGTGTGTGTGTGTGTGCGCGTGTGTACACACACACACTGCCTGACATTTTTAGCTGTCTGTGGAGACTGAGTTAATGCATAGATATCTTAAAACAGTTAAATAGTCATTGGAGCAGGAAATTTAATTTAGATTTCTTTTCTCCCAGCCAGTAGTCTATAGTGTCCTACTTGATTTTGCTCTGTTTTACCTTGGCTTAATTATTCATTACTTCAAGAGGTGGGATCGAGAGTTTGCTCTTATACTCTAGCATGCCCTACTGTCTGGCAGAGGATTCGCATGGTAGATGGACATTCACATCCCCACAAGGTGGGACTAGACTTGGACCCAGTGGGCGGTACCTTAGGAGTCAATTTGGATCTGGCTCAAAGAACCTAATTTGGATGTTGCGAATTCCATTGGGTACCTAAAAGTTAGATCCTCCAATACGTGTCAGCGTAACACCAAAGTCCTTTTGAGACTTTAGCCAGAGGTGCCTAAGTTCCAGGTAAGGGCTCCTAGAGGTGCCCACGTCCAAACTGCCCTCTGGCAAAAAGGCTGGCATAAGTGTCTCAGTCTGGGAGAGGTAAGGATTATGACTCATGATCAAAAACAGGCACCTTCCTGCAGGCTAGTGTAAGGCTCCTACATCCCTAAGATGGAAAGGGCTTGAGCCCCACCCCTCCTAAGTATTTCCTAGTAGCCTTAGTAGCTCGCTATTCAGCTTTCTAGTTTTCATGGATCCCATTCTTAAGAGCCGAAGGGCTATGGATAACATTTGGATATCTAAGTGCAATTTTGTTCTACCCTGTTCAAATAAGCGAAAAATTGTTAATACAAAAGGTGAGTAGGTCCCATCTCCTTGCTGTTTTTTTCTGACTCAGTCTTAAGGCTGAGATGATGGGGTGTTACAAGAGTAGATTCATTCAGTGATTTTAGGTGGTTGAATAGGATGGAATAGATGCATAGGGTGCCTATACATGCGCCCTGGGATGGAAGATGGGCATTTTAATTAGACACCCGTAGCGTCTCATGTATCCACTGCCCCGTGTTCCAAAATGGTGGTGGAGGCACTTTGAATGAGCATTAGTTAAAGTGCTCCTGCTGCCATTTTGAAAGATGGGATGCTGAATACATGAGACGCTGCAGCACGCTGGAGTGTTCTGACTAGAGTGCTCCAGCAGACAATCAAATCCGCTCTGAAGTGTTCTAATCGGAACATGTCAAAGCACATGTATAGGTACCCATAAGGCACACTTAGGCACTGAAGTCCATTTAATTGCTGAAAACGTAAATTAGAATCTGGCCCTAAAAGTTACCATTGCAGCAGCTCAGTTCTATTTTGGATCTAGCCTCTATAAGGAATTTCAAAAGCTCCTAAGCATGTTAGATCAAGGATGACCAAGATACAGCCCATAATTGAAACTTCAGATTTACTTTTCTTTGAACCTATTATACAGGTACCCATTAACACATGCTAGTAGTTTTCAAACTTCCTGAAGTTACAGAACCCTTTCTATCCTATAGGCTGATGGGGAGCCAGATAACCGAGTCTGGCAATAGCAGCACACTGTCTCCGGGTCCACACTGCCATTACCTCCAATCTCTTTGCAGATCCCCTGATGACCTATTGTGGCACCCCAGGGTCTGTGGAACACACTTGGAAAACCAGGTGCTAGAACATGAGGGGCTAGCTGCTGGAGGTTCACAGAAATCAGAGTAAGAGGCAGTTGCATGCTCAACACATGAAGACCGAGCCATGTACATATATCAGCGATTCTCAACCAGTGTGCTGGGGCACGGTGGAATGCCACAGGGATGCCACAAGATGTGAAAAGTGTAGGTTCAGACTCATCCATGCCCGGCCTTTGCCCTGCCTCCACTGCCCAGCTGCTCTGCAAGGAGGTAAGCACTGTAATAAATTAGTTTTTGAAACGGGGTGCCGCTTGATTCACACAAGTTATGGAGGGGTGCCTGGAGTCAAATGAGGGGTGCTTCCACTCTGCAAAGGTTGAGAACCACTGCCATACATACATACCTGTGGACTTGGGAACTGAACTTTGGGCACCTAATTTTGAAAGTATTTTCATGCTAGATAGAGAGAACAAAGGCAAAAAAGGTCTTGCGTAAATACACTGCAACTTGTATCACAGGTTCTCATCTGTGGCCAAGCTTGAAGTAACCAATTTAAAGTTTCCCCAGTGTCTTAAATATAGTTTTGCTCAACCTTTTGTTAAGGAGCAACACCATTACAAAACTATTTTGGCTGATTATCTGGGGGTGGTTGCTTAGGGCAATGTTATAACGAATTGCTTCCTTCTTTTCTTGATGAGCAGCACTGTTGGGAAATTACCCTCGTACCAAAACTGATCCACATTCAATTTGTTTTCTTGAACTCTGTCACAAAACCCATGGGACTGATCCTTCTGTGTTACAATAAATGAATAAGAATTAATTAATAAGCAGGTATTTAGATTGTAAGTTTTACATATATTTGATGCACAAAATTCCTTGACATTTCTTTGTTTGAAATAAAGGTTCAGAAACAGAAATATAATTATATATTTTATTATAGAATTATCTAAAATACAATCTTCATCTCTTTTTTAAATTAGAGCATATATTATCTTAATGACAAGATATTTTGTATTACATCTATGGTAAGAATTTTTACAGATGATACTTAATTTAAGATAGTTTGCAATTAAAACAAATACCAACACACTAAAGACATAATTGTGGTTGATGATATTATGGCTAAAAAATTAAAACATTTAAAAAAATATGTATACTTTATCTGCTTAAAACCTAAGCCATCTAACCTGTAATATTACCTTTGTTTTTCACTATGTCAATGCAATTTAAGCTATTCAATCATATTTAAAATGTTCAAGTTATTCTGTATTCCTGTGCTTTGGGAAAAACTTCAAGTTACTGAGTACAATTAATTTTATGTACTACCACCTGTGAATGAGGTTATTTAAAATGGCTTATTTTGCTGTCAAAAGTACTATTGTAATCAAAATGTCAGTCACAGTAAATATCAAACTTCACACAAGGATGTTCCTCCCACCCCATTTATTATAAACCCTTTCCCTTGGTCTAGGGTCTTTCACATTTCATTAGCTAATATTTTAGATGCAGAGTGGAAGAAACAAAGGATCTGAGAGATGAGACGTTGCCATTGCACAGATGGCAAAGGTTTGATTTTTGTGCTTAGCAGAAGGGCTCCTCACAAACACAGCAATTTCTGTCAAGCTCAGCACTTTGCTTATCGGAATGAGGCTCTCACTCCTCTCCTCTTCAGAGGCTGGCATGGGCGCCAGTTGTCGACCATGTGGCATACGGGCTCATTCTCAGAACTGAAGCAAAGGCCACGGAGTTTGCACATCTGCAGTGGGGGGAGAGAAGACAGCACCAGCATTAGTCTTCAGTTGCAGCCTTAGACCTCAAGAGACCTGTTTGCAGTATACACTATGGATCAGAGCCAATCAGAACTTTTGAGAGTAGGGAGAAGGTGACTTAAAGCCAACTCTAATTTTTGCCTGCTTTAATAGCTCCCTAGGGAGCATTTTCTGAGTCAATAATCTCACTACAAGGAAATATACCCTTTCCTGCCCTCAGCATTCCCCTTTAATATCAGAACTGGGAAAAGGTGACATAGGACCATCCAGAGGCAATTTTCTAGGCACTTTGTAGCACAGAACAGCACAAAGAGCCAAGGCTGGCTTTGTATTTGTTTCAGCTGAACTCTGTTCAAAAATCTCTCTCTCAGCAGTCTATTGGTTATTTAAAATTGGAACATTTTTGGCACTTCAGTGTTTAAATAAAACTGACCCAATCAGCAAGAATGAAAAAAAAAAAAAAAAAAAAAAAATCAATGAAACTCTCCTGGCGTGAGGGGCAAATCAGTCCCAACATCAGTAAGAAGGTGCTGTAGGTACTGAAATACTAGCATTTGATCAAAAAAAAAAAAATCAGGATCTGCAAGTGCCCTACTCTCCAAGGCACAATTTATTTAGACAGCTAGCAGGGAGCTCTAGGAAAAAGATAATTCTGCCATAAAACTCCTGTGTTCCAAAGGTACATTAGGATAGTTTTATCTACTGAAATACTGGAGGTAAAGCATGTGGGAAATCAGTAAGATATTTTATTCTATTAAACATTTATTTGCCCATTACAAACAAGTCTACAGTTCATGCATCTGCTTAAACAAACACCACATAGGAGAGTCTTCAGATGTAGACTCTCTCTCAGTTAATTCAGATCTAATGGTGAAACCCAGTATTCCAGTACAGCACATGGATTTCTCATATGGACAATCATCCATAAGTGGGATATGATTTTGTCACACAAGAAAAGAGCATTATTCAATGCAAGTGAAAGTATGTCATGTCATGCAGATTTCTTTAGGGAGGTGCTCCACAGACAAGAAATTTCAGCTGACTAAAGAAATCCAGAATTGTGTGTCCTACAGTTGGTGCAGCAGCTATTGATAAAATGGATTTAAATTGTTGAAGGGTAAGGCAGATGCCCTTTAGATATGGCTTATATTTGTGGCGCTCAGATCCTATTTATATCCTTCAACCTAAATACGTGCAGACCTAAAGGAGGAATTCTGCATGTATACAGTTTCATTAAATAAGGTTGAACAGAACCTAAGCCTAGAGAGTGGCAGTGCCTTATCTTCCCCACTCTCCTCAAGCTCCACAATACAAAGAGGGTTTTTTCCTTCCTTTTTCTTTAAATAAAATAAAGATTTCTGGAAGCCGGGAGCTTTCAACATGCCAACCTATGGGAGATCTATTTGGCTCCCATTCCTAGCAAAGCCCACTTCTGCATATGCAGATACACAATAAGGAAAGCAATAATATGCGGATATAAAATATTGCTCTTTAACCATTGAAGATATACCTGTTCTGGGCTGACATAGACAGGCTCTCTCAAAACATGCCAAATAACACATTCAAGTAGAGGGGGAGTGGTCAGTGAGCCTGGGTATGTCCAGAAATCCAGGGATGCAGGAAGCAGTCCTGTGGGATCATAGGATGTGAAGGCAGCTCGTTTGCCCTATAACAGAAAAAGCAACTTGTTAAACCAACATGATGTGAAGTCAGCTTGTACACACTTTGCTTGCAGGAGGAGAGTCTAAGGAGGTTCCGTATTTGGAGGGGGAGGGAGAGAGACAGACAGACATGCGCATATGGCAAACATGTGCGCGCGCGCACACACACACCAATTCTGCACAGTGCCCAGCCTATTTAAATTTAAATTTTTCAACTTAAATAGGCTTGTAAAGTGCTCAGAACATTGCAGGTCCAAACCCTGCTCTGTGCTTCAAATGTCACCGTCAGTGCCTCTTCCTATTAATATGCTCCTTGATTGTATTGTTCTTGTGGAAAGGATCAAACAGAACTACATGTTCTGATGGCTAAGGAGATCTAGCACTTATGAAAATGGTGGGTCTAGTTCAGCACCAATGTCAGTAGCAAAGCTCTCATTACCCTCAGTGGAATCTGGATTGTTGACCTGGATGTGACAAAAAAGTAGGAGCAAAATGTCCCCTTCTCTGTTTTTCTTTCCTCAAATGTCCATCACCTTAGAATCTGGACAGCTAACTTTGCAATAAATAGCAAAAAATCATAGTAGGCTATATTTTAACTACCTACTTCATAAAAATACAGTCATAAGATTTACACCGTATATAAATGTGACACGGTATTCTGACTACAGACTCAACCACAACTGAAAATCAGAATAAGACAATCATATTTAAATAAATCAATATTCATAGTTCCCCTCTCCAAGTGCTATGTGATACCACAATGCCACACTACCCATTATTATAGCCTAATCTAAAAAAAAAAAACCCGCAAAACTATTTGAGCCCTCCTTAAAGTAGGGAATACAAATGCATCAGTGCAACTGACATGGAGCAACCCCACTGTAGTACACAAGCAGAATGAACAGAAATCAAAATAGCTATTTTGCATGTCAGGTGAAGGACATAGGAAATGGTTGTGATTGCTGTCATTTAGCACATGGTTCATTAACTACCTTGGTTTGAATGGCATCCAGTGCATCAACCACCTTCTGTATTTCAGGTTTGGCATTTCCCACCTGCAATGCAAGACAAATGAAACACAAGTGAGTATGTGTGTATGTGACAATTCAGGCTGAGCTGACTAACAACTAAAGAAACATTTTATATTACACCACCACCACACCACTGGAATGGCTCACAGTGTTTCACGATAAACATGATTGTAAACTGGCCTTATAAAGAATTTAAGAGTTTGCCAGTTGGCACAAATGGGCTGTGTTGACTATCTGTGGAAGTCATCAATAATGGGAATAGAATTGCGTTAATATATGATGGCTTTATCTTTGGACCTGTGCCTTTTGGTTTCTCATAAAAATTCAAATTCAAACTCTTACTTAAGTCAAGCTAATGCCAGTAGGGCAAAAGATTCTGCATACCGAACAATGGTCTGCATGCAAATGTTGTGCTAATGTGACCATGTTAGTGTGAAATGTGATTCTACTGAGATGGTTATACTAATACTACACCTAGCATGGATGCAAGTGTATCAGTATTGAAGTTGGTTTATACCAGTATAGCTTGTTGTCCATCCTGTATGGAAGGAAAGATGGGAGAATAAGCACTTTTATACCAATATAACTTTGTCCACACTGCAGAAATTGTACTTTTTTTTTTTTTTTTAATCTATATTGGTATTAAGAGAATGCTATGAATTTTGTGTGTTGCTAAGCCATTGAGTTGGGCAGGGACCATCTTTTTGTTGCATGTTTGTGCAGCCTAGCACAGAAAGCTCCTAATCCATTTTCAGGGACCCTACTAACTACTGCAATACAAATAACACATTACCATAATAAAAAAGGTTTAACTAACCTTAAGTAAAATGCCCAGCACAGCCAAGCCATCAGGATGTTTCACAGCCTCACTAAATGTACCATATCTTGTGTTCCAGTGAACCAGGTGAAGCTAAAAACAGGGGGATAAGAAAGCATTTGTGAAGGGTGCATTCCAACAGACAGAGCATCTCAACTAATAATTTACAAAATGAGGAACCAGGAAGGTCATTAATTAAACATTAACAACAGATGGTATTTTACAGCTCAGACTTTAAAAGTTCTCCATGCAACTAAGAATTTGCTGAATCATTCATCTGCTTTATGTATTATGTAGTAACCTTTATTCATATAGATATTGATAAGCTGTTAAAAATTCACCTGGCAGAGAGAATGAGTAAGTGCAAACTGTGGACTACATCTTGCCTATTCTGATCAAAATCATATGGTTTTAATAGGAGTTTTACCTAAACAAAGACTGCAGGATTTCACTTGTTTTAAATTTAGTATTCCATTTTTTCCAGAGGACACAGGTAAAAAACTCAGCCCCCAAATCTGAGGAAGTCATACCTGTTACACAAAGGGTTAGTTTGGCCTATAATCTAGGGAATGTTTTTAATAAAAAACACCTCCTGGAAAACACTGGAGACTTTCTGTTTGAAAATAAATGCAATGTTAATTGGGTTTCTCCCCTTCTTTGCCCAAATAGCTGAGGAAACCAGGACAAAGAGAAGCTTTTGGTTCTTCAGACTCTTCTTCATCTAGAACCCAGCGGCTCCTGTGGATTTTTCCCTCATTTGACATCAGAACAATTTGTGCCATCATAGCAAGTTAAATAGCTAGTTAATGTACAATGAGCAAAATTTCATAACAGGAAGAATCCGAGGCAACCAGGTGCTCCAAGAGGTCCTAAAACTGAAAGCTGTTCCATACCTTATAAAGAAGAAGCAGGGAAGATGAACCCAGGCCAGACTGTTTCTGGCCCTACATAAGTAAATGAGAGAGGAGAGAATGTGCTAAGGGTAACTTTCCCCTTACTCAATTACAAGGACCAGGCAGAACTCCAGCCGGGTGCTATCTGGGTGAAAAATATCAGGAAAATTTAGTTCTGCTTCTGTTGCTATACTTCCAAAGTGGATAGAAAGTGACAGATTAGGGTTAGTACATAGCTTCATCCTCCTGGAGCAGGGGTGGGCCAGGGGCTAATGGAGTATGAATCCCCTGTGCACAGGACAATGTAGCTAATGCTTGGCATAGAGTCTGAAAGCATCCTGGAGGCATTATATTGAGCCAGTAAGATTCTCTCCTTAAATTTGTTTTGCTGCATGTCTCTGCTACAGCTGCCCTTGCTCACTTATCACCACAGGCTCTGCCTTTAAAGCCACAAAAAGCCTTTTAGGAACCATTTGTTTTCATGCAAACATCTCTAAGTCACAAACTGAAGCAAGTAAAAAGGAACATATAGGGCTAAATCCTAAGTGGTATTTATGTAGTGCTGTAATGGCAATGCATAGCACTAATGCACAATTTGCATTCTGTTTCTACTCATGGCACAATAAGCTCATCCTATGCATGTACCTGCCAGAAGAAAGGTGACAGCCCTTCAGGCTTTTAGTGCAATGGCTAGGGCATTTGCCCATGCAGTAAGAGATCCAGATTCTAAGCCTCCTCATCCTACACCTAGAGGGGGACTTGCTTCCCAGGAAAGTGCTCTACCTACAGGTTCCAGGCCAGGCATTGCCCAGGGCCCTCTGCAGCTATTTACATCTTGCATTTCCAATTGTCTTTGTATAAAATGGATAAACACTAGTGAGATAGTGATTTTTACTCTACTGGGGGATAGGGGTGCAGACAAGACTGCAGGGCCCCTTCCCTTCTAGGGCAGTGGCCATCTCATTGAGTCACTCTCTCTCTCTACTCTGCCCTACTCCTTCTAGCCATACATATCTTCCCCCCCATGCTGGCTGCCCAGTGGTCCAGCTTCATAAAGGAAGGCTGGAGACTACTCCAGGTAAAGGCTAGTCTGTGGCCTGATGTTTTAGGCACTTGCATGAAAAGTAAGGGAGTAAAGTAAATTCAAAACCCACTCTGGAAGCCAGGCCTGTCAGACTCTAGGCATGGTCCCTGAGCACTAGATTACTGGGATAAACAGTGGAGGCTGCTCCTTTTGCAACATGCATCCATTAGCAGGGACTTTTCCATGACTAAAGTTTGGGGTTTTACAGTGTTACATGCACAGCAAGGCAATCTTATTTCATCCAGACAACTACAATTGTCAGAGGGCATCCTACTGAACACATTCAGTATGGAAACACAGGCTGAGCCTAACTACACAGAATCAAAACTGTGTGCAAGTGCCCCCCAAAAATCAGTTGCACAGCCATAGAAGTGCCACTTAATTATGTGAAGGTGACCTAGTATTTAGCCCATGTTGTAGACCTGCACAGCAAATTTTCTAGCACTTTCCATGACCTATTGAGAGTGCTGAAAAAAACAGCTGATGTAGCTAATTTACTTCATGAATTGAAGTAGCTGCAACAATTTTAGAAGGAAGATGATACCTCCCACTCAAGCGTGGGGCAGCCCCAGTGGAAGTACTAACATTGACCAGATGTTAACAATAAATCACTTTTACCCTGCTCAAATTCTTATGCTGCTACCACTGTGGATTTGCATTGATGGGAAATTTCAAGAAGAGTTTCAAACACAGCCAAGGCTTTAGCAGATAAAAAGGAAGTCCTACCTCTGCATCGTATTTCACACCATCCACAGTGTGCTCAGACCCTTGGCCTTCACAGGATCCCCAGTGGATGTGAAACTGAATCAGTCTGTAAGTTCCGTCCAGCGCTCCACCTCTCATCACTGCAAACCAAAGTTTTTTATCAGTACATGCCTCGCACCCTTCATTGCAGACCCTTCCTTTATAACAGAGCACCCAACTCAAGTCTAAAGGAAACTGTACTTTGATGCTCTGCCTGATGTTCTGCTATTCTGGAACTGTTTACAGTCCAAAGCTAAAATTAGCCAGAGTCACTGCGAGAGATATAAAAACATAAATGCCATCACTGTATATCCTGTCAACATTTAGCCAGCTATACTACTTATACAAGGTGATCAGAGTTTTGGAGAACATTATAGGATTAACTCTTCTGCTGTGAATAAGAAAAGCCACAAAGCTGAATGGCCAGAATACTGGAGCCATACACTAGGGCCAGCAAAGTGCATCTTGTGTGATGCACTCGTGCCCTTCCCTGTTATGCTATTTGGGTCTTGATCCTGAAAAATCATGCACTGGAGTCCAAAGTTGCCATGCTACAATGCAAATCTGAGTGAAGTTTATGCATGGAATTTAGGGGATTCAAGTCTCCATTCCTTACCATTCCTATGGTCCTCAGTTTGGAAGAAAGACATATACTTTTGTTCTCCCTATTG